AACTGAATGGTAAAGCAAATTGTGAAGTTCCCTTCAACATGTCAGAAGAGATGTGCAAGACCGGACTGTGGAAAACGTTTGTGAAGGATGGATCAAGGACCAAGCCAGAGCACAGGAAAGGCAAATCAGGCGACAAACACAAGCATAAACATAAACACCATCACAGCCACAAAAATAGACACAATCGGCACAAGAAAGACCGCGAAGAACGTAAAGAAGACGAGGGATTGTGGATGCTTGGTAAAAAGACTGAGGGTGATGATGATGACGAAGGAAGCGACGAAGGAAGCGACGCAGAACTACAAAGAAAACTTTCGACCATTAACGAGGACAAGGCTGATGTTGTGATTGACATGGGGCAGATTCAGAAATCTCTTCTGGAGCAGACTGATAATGGTGATGTTCCGATGGTCGGTGAAGGCAACAAGGAAAGTGACAAGCCAGCGGGTACTGCTGAAGATGTTGTCTGAAGTGTTTAGAGGGTAATCATCCTTAATAATATGAGCCAGGTAACAACACTGTATCCATACATGTAAATGAAGCAGTGTTTGTTTTTATACTCATCAGTAAGAACCCTGTTGTATGTAATTAAATTCTTTGGTAGTAATTATAGTTTTAAAAATATACATGATAACTCGCCTTAAAACCAGTTTTCAAAATTGAACTTTCTCCACTCAGACATGATCATATGATGTCACTACATTGTAGCTATTGAATTTTTTTAATAAATAGTGTTATGTAGACGTGTAACAGTAAACAGCCAAAGATTGTTTTTCTGCAGTTTTGGATGAACTGTGTGGCAAAAATGATGGAATAGGCAATTAAAACACTTCCGAATATAAGAAATAGGTTGCATCTGAAAACATTACCACATTCTGTTCTTAGAGATGGAGTTTAACAGTGGTAAAAGAGTAAATTATATTCTAAGACATTGGCAACTTTTTTATGTTATCTTGTCTGAGAGGAAATGGTATCTTAAAAATATAACCATGCTTATACTTAGGCAGGTATGTTAAATGGTAATTGTGATAATTAATTCAAGGTGATATAGTTGGCATTCAGAATGCTTGATTGGTCGTTACGTTTCAGCATAATTTTCTTGAAGGTAGATGTAAACAACCATGTAGATAGTCCATGTAGGTTTGGATTTATTAGATTTACGTAAAAACAATTTTTTTTCCTCATTTGTGGTTAATCGCATAAGAAGAAAAGCTAACTTCTCGTTTATAATTAGAAAACAGGCCAGTAAAAAAAGGTCCAAAAAATGAATAAAACCAACGTAATGTAGTTTTTATTCAAACTTGTGTAGCACAGAGAAAAATGGTATCATTTCGTGGTTTCTGCTGTGTTAAAATAAATTTCAGTATTTTTGTATTTTTAGTAAGGCAAAAACGGGGGCAGGCCCTCTCATAAATGGTTTCATTTCTTCGCTGATCGCTTCCAGGCATCATTTGGCTGGTCACGCAAGGCTTTTCGAAGGGAGGATTGCGTGACAGCCCAAAATATGGCAAAGGTAATGGTATCAATGTAAGTGGCTTCACTTCCCTTTGAGTTTGTGTAAGTTACACAGTTGGAGTGAAGTGAAAGCCAAGAATTCAAGTAAAAAGTTTAAAAAATAAATCTATAGATTTCAAATACACCCTTTTTGACACTAGCTTAATCAATGTGGGACACGTTTCCAACAATCTTGTATTTGCAAATTTGGAGAGAAGTTATTTATTCCAACTTTACACAGCAATTTAGAAGCAGATATCACTTTTGTAACACTACATTGTACGCAGTTTGTCTGTTTCTAAATCAGTCCTTTTTGGCATTTGAATTTCCAACGGCTTTTTCGAAACATCCTTAATATTTTACTGTACGTGTTGGAGTAATTTTTATGAAATCAAAACATCTGTACATCAGGCAGACATAATTTGGTGTATCCATGTGATAATTTGCATTTCAGTTCTTTATGCTCGAAGTGGTACCTTCTTGTATAACATAGTAATTTTGTCATTCAAGAAGGTAGATAACATAATTGAGATTTTGCCCGAAATATGAATTATTTATGTCTCGGGTAAAATCTCAATCATGTAATCTATGGGGACGTTGAAAACATTGTAAGTCTGTAAGTTTCATTTTATTTCATTATGAACAGTGAAGGGTGATGGACTAAGGCCAAAGGTATATATGTTGTGGTTTAAGTTTGCTTTATAAATTTCAATATTTTAATCAGTTTTATTTTTATTTTCCTATGCTTGCGAGCGCAGTAACGATTATGACAGATAAATGAAAGTAATTATTGGCCTGAAAACCGTCAAACCAAAATCAAATTTCAACCACAATGTGTAAACTGGATTTTTAAATACCTATGTACAAAGTAAATCAAGTTGTGAAAATTAAGTATTTATAGCACAAAACACTGTAATTTAAATCAAATCAGTAATGACGTTTGCTGAGGGTCTTTTGGAGGGGGAGGCCACCATTATTTAGCGTATTATTTTAGTTAGTGTAATTTTTTGTAACTTAAAGTACGTTAAAAATGTCCAATGGAAACAAATTTGATGGTAACACGATTAGTCTTTGTCTTTGCTTAAGTTTACGTAAACTTTTTAAGGCACTTTTCTTTCTCAGGAGCCTAGATATGCTCCAACATTGAGTGACAATTAGAAATACAGCAGTTGTGAACTCGGCAAGTAATTGAATAAGCTAATTAGATAATTAATACATAACTAAAAGGAGGTTGGGGGAGACAAATGTCTGTCTATGGGCGTGAGTTTTAGAAAACCTGACAGAGACGTTCAACACTAGTCCCGAGAATTGTACACTAAGAAAAACAACCAATGAAAGATTCCTTGCATCTCTGTAGAGCTGTGCAATCAGTTTGGAAAGGTTATACACTCGAAGCGCGGACGTTTTTCTCGGTTAACCAAAACTGACGCGTGGAGGGAGACATTTGTTCGCTCGGGTTAAACAGTAAGCTGTTGAGTCTGGTTGTCTTGATGGAGAAACATTGCATTAAATAAAACTTGTGTCATTTCAAGTTCCACTTAAATCAAACCTATGCTCATTTTGTGCAGGTCTTGTTGGACATTAAATAAAGTTCACTCGTTCACATGATGACTACTTTTTTGTTGTACTGTATAACTGCTTAGTTTTTTTTTTTTTTGNTTAGGGAAGGTGTTGTACAAAATATGAAGTGTTCTCAAAAAATTAAAATCTACGGCACAAGGCCTGGCTGCTTGTCGGCGAAAGAACGCGTGCTCTTCATGAAATTTCGCGCCAAATCGTGTGAGCGCCAAAGCTTCTGTGTTTGTGTTCCTGAGGACTAACCCCAAGGACCCTTTGAACTTAACTTCTATTTAACCGTCCTCGCATTGGCATGTCTGACAAAAAACGTCTATTCCCTTAGCTTTTTACTTACAACCATATCTATGAAAAAGAACCTATTATAACATAAGCCATTGGGAGGTCTTCAAAACAATTACGGGACCCCATACATGATAGACCACCTAAATATTTAGAAATAAAAAAATATAAAACCTATCAAAAAGAAAAACGTGGACACGTCACTTATCTCTCGCTAAAAACTAAATGCTCCCTCACACCTTTCTTGAAATTGGCGACAGTAGTAACCTGTTGGACCGACAAGGGCAGAGAGTTTCACTTGTCTACAGTTCTGTTAAAAAGTTAAATTTAAATGAATCAGTTCTTACAGAATTCTTCAGAGTACATTCATCTTTTCCCCTTAAAGAATATTTATCAGGTCTGAGAAAAACTGCGCAAGTGTAGCAGCTCTCATAAGCTTGTAATTTTATTTGTCGACATTGCAGCAGCTGCTATTGTTTTGGGGCTGCGTGCATTGTTGCTGTTGTTTGTTATATTTTTCTCTCAAAAGGTATCCAGCAGTTCATGAGAGACCTTACGAGAGCTGCTACAGGACCCAAAAACTGTACGTAAAACTGATTAAAGGTCTCGTACAATGCGCAATTTAATTTGTGTATGTAGTAGATAGAGGATAATACATGGGCGTACGTAGATATGGAATATGTCTTCGAGTGTTCAACTCGGTATCTCACGAGTGAGTGCAGCGAACGAGTGAGGTATAAAGTTGAATAAGAGAAAAGATATTTCATGTCTACAAGCAACCATGTATTATTTTGTTTATTATAGAGACATACTGATAACGATGTTTTTGGCTGTTTTCCGAAGATTTCCGACCACTTTCCGAAGATTTCTAAAAATTGTCCGAAGACCACACAAACGTTTCTGAACATTTTCCGAGATTTCCGAAGATTGCCAAAGGCTTTCGAGGAAGATCCGAAGATGTTTCGATCATACACCAACAAATCTAAGTACGGTTTAAGGGTCAAACACGACATCAGTGAAGTCATCGATATCTTCACTAGTGAGGATATGGAAAAGTCCCGGATGTAGTTTCGTATGAATTTTACGACTGCTGTATTTTCCAGTAAATAATACACATGAAAAAATTACTCGATTCTGATTGGATGAGAGCAGTGCAGTTCAAGCGTAACACCCGTGCAAAAAATGTAACACCAGTGTAAATTACACATCGTAATTCTGGATTATGATCGGCCGAAAGACAATAGGAAATTTTCTAAGCCGATGATATCACGTAAAATGATGGCGAAAATTTTCTGCGGAAACTTTGAAAAACGTTTTCTCGAATAAGAAAAAAAAGGCTTCAAGAAAGATCTTCCGGCACTTCCCCCACGCGAATTTTTTCATGTTTATGTTATTAATAAGTAATCATACGGTTTTTCTCGTTCCATTTTGAAAAACTCACACGTGCAAATTAATTCCAAATTGAACTCGAAACCGTATTATTACCTGTACAAAACACTTGTACCTATATAATAAAAAGGTTTTCCATGCGTAAAATTAAGGATAAATGGTCTGGAAAAGCTCAAGAAAAAAAATGATGTCAGGTCGTAAAATGCAAATGAAAAGTAGCTCAGTTATTGAATCCTACATATTTGACAGTTGAACAAGGGTTAAATTTTGATATCTTTATTGAAAATGCACTCAAATCCTAAGCTTATTTACAAATACTGTTTATAGCATAATCAGAAATGTTACTTATAGTTGAATAAGAAGTTCTTTTCTCCTATTTATAATAATGCCACACAACACGGAAGTGTGCCTGGAATCAGATCTTTGAAATACAGAGTCTTGTGCACACAAAAAACGCCTTTAAATATAAATTCGTATACAAAATGGTACAAAAATAGCGTTCGAGTTAAATATATTAGTAGCTTTTTTGTACAGAAAATTACTTTTTTCTCTCTTGAAGTTATAATTACTTTGTAAAACTTCGATAAATTATTTATTAAACGTAATGTATCTTAGTTGACTCACGTATCTTGCACACATGGTAAATAAGTGAAATCCTGCATCGAGAAACAAACTAACTGCCTTGTTTGAAAATTTCTAAATGCTCGGTCGTAAAGAGCATTGCTTCTGATAAATTATTTACTGAACGTAATATATCTTACTTGACGTACGTATCTTGCACTCAGGGTAAATATGTGATATCCAGCGTCGATAAACAAACATTTTGCCTTGTTCGAAAACTTCAAAACGTTCGGTCTTAAAAAGTACTGCTTATGATAAATTATTTATTAAACGTAAGGTCTCTTACTTAAGTATCTTATTGCACACAGGGTAAATATGTGATATCCAGCATGGACAAACGAACTTATTGCCTTGCTCGAAAGTTTCAAAACGTTCGGTCGTGAAAAGCATTGCTTGTGATGTTTTAACTGTTTTTGTAATATTATTTTCTTATAGTAAAATGTAACTCGACGGTTCAATTTTTCATTTGCAAAGTCGTTAACGTCTTTTCATTAATACGTTGTATATCCAGGTTTTCTAGTTCCACTTACTCTCTCGGAGAGAATATGCTTTCTCAGGGACTTCATGTCTTTCATCTTGAGTTTAAGAAGGTTTCTCAGTCGTTCGGATTCTTTTCTGCTTTGTTTGATGGCGTCAAGCAACTCTGATTCCTGCCTGGATCCAAAGCTTCCACTAAGCTCTCCGCGCTTCTGCAGCATGTTTTCCATCTGAGCGCATTTAAGGTCGGCATGCAAGCTGCCTAACTCGAGGTGATAACTCTCTTTCAGCATCCGCAGCTGCTCCATGAGGTCAGTAATCTGCCTGGTGCGCTCGTCAAGCTGGTCTTTCATGATCTCCAACACGTCACTTTTCTCACTGGTATGCATTCTAGTTGCCTGGAGACGGAGCTTAAGGTTGTCAATTTCCATGTCTTTGGACTCGAGCGCGAGCTTGGACGCAATTTCGTCAGCGTGACGCTGCTGTTCACTGGCTTCTTGGATGATCCGTACCTCTCGTTCCAGGGCCTCCACGCGTTCTTGTAAGAACTTGATCTCGTTCTCATAACGCGTGCGCAGTCGCTCAAGCTTCTCTTCCTTCGATTGGCTGGCGTTCTTTTGCTGTTCCATTTCGCTCAAGACAGACTTCACTTCTCGTTCCCAGCATTCTCTTTCGATTACATAACTCTGGAGTTTGCTATTGGTGGATGTAAGGTCGAGTTTCAACTCCGATTCCCGGTTGTGCTTCTGCGCCAGGTCTTTCTTCAGGAACTCGTTCTCTTTCTCTGTAACTTTGAACTTGGTGAGGCTCTCATTGTGCTCTCTTTCTTTGTCCTTTAACTCCTTTCCGAGCGACTCAGCCTCAGCTCTGAGCTTGCCAATCTCCAGCTGTTTGCGCGCAGAATCAGCGCATGCGCTACTCTGGACCTTGATCATCTGTCGTTTAAGATTCTCGATCTCGTGGAAGGAGTTCGCAGCTTTGCCTTCAGCAGTGTTCAAGTTTTCTTCCGATTTATTCAGCATCTGTTGTATGTGATCCTTCTGTTCAAGGACCCCCTTCAACTCACGATCGAGGATCTCCTTTTCGCTTTTTACTTCGTTCAGTTGACCACTAAAAGTACTACAAAGCTCTTTTTCTTTCTGAAGCAATGCCTGAAATTGTGAGCACTCCTTCTTCGTGGCGTCTAATTGATGTTTTAGGATCTCGTTGGTTGCTTGAAGGCTTCCTCGCTGGATCTCGAGTTCTTCGCATTTCTCACGGGAGTCGTCTAATTCCTTTTCTGTTTTCTCTAACCTTGTAGCTTTGTCTTTCACACTGTCCTTCAGCGCTGTAATTTCGTGTTCAAGGTTGGCTTTATCCACAGCTTTTTCCTTGCAGTCGTTTTCCAAGCTTGCTATGCGTTCGTCCGCTCCGGAGAGCTTTGTAAATAGCTCCGTCTTTTTCTCGTTAGCGGTGTCGTACAACTTTTCAAGCTCGTCGATCTTTAACTGGCTGGCGAACAGCTCTCTGTCTTTTTCTTGAATGAGTTGCTGTGTTGCTCTTTCGTTTGCTTCCAGTTCAAACGTTCTTCTCTTTAACTGTAACATGTTTTCTTGGAGTGCGTCAAACTGTTGTTGACTTCCCTTGATATCGCTCTTTGCATCGACGATCTGCTTGCG